CGGACATAAAAGCATTAAATATATTTTATTACCTCTCACAGCTTTGTTTGACTCCAGATTTACAGACTATATTTATGCATCAATTGACCACAAACATTATGCTGCTTCAATCATTCACTAGTGATTTACAAAATTAGTATTAAACATAACTATTTTGGTATTTTAGGAACAGCTAGATTTATAGAAACAGGAACGAGAAATCCTCGTTTAACTACATAATAAAAGCAGAAGCTTAAATGCAAATGTTTGGCTTACCTCACTGTTAGAGAGAAATGCTAAACTTCTAAATATTGTATCCTTTTATACGCGGTGTAAGAAATGATGAACACTAATACAAAACCTGTTACTGCTGAGAGAGCAGTGAGCACCTCTGAATATTCATCACAGCAGCTACAAAGAAAAGAAAGAGACAAAACAAAGTTACACAAGAGCACAACAGACAACGACAACGAAAACAACCTCCCCCCACCAAACAATTGCTTCATGGTATCTTAGGAAAGGTAACCTTTTACACAGATAAGATATGACTTTACGACACTTGGATAAAACTGGATAATGTCTGCTGTCAGGGTTCAAGTCAGCTGATGGCTATCGCTGGGATAGATAGAGATCTTATCTCACCATTATACTGCAGGGACAGCTGAATTCACCTTCAACTTAGCCACCCTAACAGACTCCAGTCATCTTTATTGCAAACGATTCGTTTTTAGTCCAACAGACAAAAGGCTGAAAATGTTTCCATGTACTAACCGTCAGGCTGTGTTCAGCTTCGGTTCAGACTTCATTACTGTTTTCATTGTGTCTGTTCGCCGCGGGCACCAGAGAAATGTTCTTGTTTCCTTTCAGTCTTAATCACTTGACATTTATCAGTAACACAGTAACATGTTAATGTACTAAAGTACTCAAAAGTGCTTCATGTTTCACATATAAGTCACTGAGACCCACCTAGTGCTGGATGAAGCCTGCTGAGCAGAACAAAACGGAGTCACATGAGCATTTACCTGAAACACTGCGAGCTTGCTTGTGTTCTGCATTCATCAGAGGAACACAAGCGTTTACTTCAGCAGTGGCAGTAAATAACCTCCAGGCAGCGTCTTGGTTCTGCGGTCACGTTAAAAGCTGCCGTGCTCGGGTCTTCACACATGATGAACACGATAAAGACATACAGCGCCAGCTGAGGTTTCTCGTGTCTCTTAAACTGAACTTGGTAAGTTTTTAATGCACGTTGGTGAAATCGTTTAAATCATAAATTGTCTTTGAAGACTGTGTTTGGTGTAACTCTTTAAACATGTGGAAACACTCGTATCATATCAAACTAAAATAAACTCAACCTACAGAAACAGTGTTTCTTCTTACTTCTACTTTCAGAGTCAGATGCAGTGTTCACGTGTCTGTCATGTAACGCCGGGTTGATCTGACAGGTTTGAGAATATAGACAATAGAACTGAAAAGCATGCCTGGATTCCACCTGTGACATTTCACGTGAGTCTCATGTATTTTGTTCAAGTAGACACTGTAGAGACAGAACACAGCTTATTATTAATACGAAGAAATCCTCCAAGAAATGTTCAGTCATACCTTTAAAATCATCACGGTCCTTCAGCCCAACCAGGAGTGACTCCAACACTACATCAACAACTGAAGCAGGAGGTCACAGAAGAGCTCAGTAAACTGCAGGACTCGTTCCACTCAGTTAAAGGAAGAGTTCATGAGTCAATAACAAATAGGATGGGCAGAAATGGTGAAAACCACTGCTGGCCCAAAACAACACAAATGCCCGTCTCACATTGATGATCCTCACTAAATTGTGGGAAAACGTCTGTGGACTGACTTTCTGGTAGGTTTATTACTTCTGGTTTAAAATGAACGCAGCATTACAGAAACAAGGAAATGACAGCAACAGTCAAACATGGTGGAGGTAGTGTGAGGACCTGATGATGAACTTTATACGCAGCCCATAAATTTGCTTATTTAATTATTGTGTTATGATTATAGTGTTCAGCTGTGTTGAAATCTAATGAGTGTGGAGACATTTGAATATGATCATTTATATTTACTCTAAAACTGTACAGCGAGTCCTGGTGACTGTACAGCATTCAGATTTTACTGGGGCCACTTATGTTGGTTTTATCTGTTAACTTTGAAAAAGGGGCTGGTGATGATGGTGAAGGGTGGAGTAGCATGAAGGGCTTTGACCCCATCCAGGGCCATTTTATCCACATTAGGGTGTAGTCCCAGCCTTCGACGGAGGTGAGCAGCAGCTTGTTCCTGGTAGATCCTGTGAAAAGTGACTGTTCAGAGTTCTGCAGTGAGGCTGCAGAGCAG